GAAGTGATAGCGAGCATCTTCGAACTTGTACCCTTCGGGACGATCGAAGGTCTGCGAGGTGAACTTGAGCAGGGGAGTAGGCTGCATGCTCTTCAAGATGGAGTTTTGAGAAGCCAGAGGAAGCTTCAGGTTGTCTGAGTACGCCTTGTCCAGGATACATCGATTCATGGCCCGCGAGAACTCTAGGTTGATTTCATCTACCAGAGTGATTGAACTTTTCCCCAATGACACCACAGCAAAGTTGCTGCCCGACGCTGAGCCTTCTCCCACCTTCATCTTCTTGGTTGATATGGACCTGGTTACGATGCGATTCATCTGCTCCCCCGGGATTGACGGAAGATTGTCAACTGGCATGCAATCGAGGTACAAGTGGAAGAGCAGGTGGATGACGAGGATTACGAGGAGGATGACGAGGATGATGAGGAGGTGCAGCATTGCCGAAGCAGGAGGAGCAGGAGGAGGAGCAGGAGGCGAGGAGGAGCAGGAGCAGGGGGGGGGGAGGAGAAGGGGGGAGAGGATGATGATGACGAGGAGGAGGAGGAGTCAATGGACAACAAAACCTGGAATTCAACACAGGGAGCAAATGGGATGGGAAACGAAAGAGAGGACCATGACATCAAAAGACATGCACATAGAGCGAATTTTGTGATGTCAGCTGATTGGTAGATATGTAACAGAGCAAGTGAGCTGGCTCCCTGCTCTTCATCGTGTTGGAATCACATGATTTCTTGATATTTTGATTACACCGCATGCCGACCTCTTATCGTACTTGACACACGTTGGGCAGGAACTTTCGTGATCATACTCAGCCATGGCGGACGCCGTGCAAGTTCTCATCGAGGAGATGGTTCCCGAGCTGCAGGAGCTTGGGGAGCACAAGCTGTTGACTAAGGTAAGAGAGGAGGAGGAGGAGTCAAGGAGGAGTCAAGGAGGAGTCAAGGAGGACGAGGAGGACGAGGAGGACGAGGAGTCAAGGAGGAGAATGAACAGGACGAGGACGAGGACGAGGACGAGGAGGAAGGAGCAAACGAGAGAAGGGTGGAGGAAGGGATGAGGAAGTTAGGGATGAAGACGAGGATACGAGAACGAGAAGAATGTTCACAAGAGGAGAGAGAAGAACATGGGAGAGGAGATCATGAGAGAGAAGGACATGGCTGTGGTGACAACCTTCTCAGGAGGAGATCCGAACTATCGTGAAGAGGAGGACAGACTTCGAGTATCGGCTAAGGAAGCGAGCAGCTGAGAAGAACGACTTCATGAAGTATATCGAGTACGAGGACGCGCTTGACAAGCTGCTCTGCGCCAGAAAGAACAAGTTGGCCAAAAAGATCAAGTTTCGAGATGTACGCTGATCTTTCTCTGCTCCTCCTCTTGCTCCACCCTCCGTTGTTCTCTCCTTGTCGCCTTTTAACATCGCTCCTCTGCTCTGCTCTGCTCTGCTCTGCTCTGCTCTGCTCTGCTCTGCTCTGCTCTGCTCTGCTCTGCTCTGCTCTGCTCTGCTCTGCTCTGCTCTGCTCTGCTCTGCTCTGCTCTGCTCTGCTCTCCTCTCCTCTGCTCTCCTCTCCTCTTCTCTCCTCTGCTGTGCTCTCCTCTCCTCTCCTCTCCTCTCCACTCTCTCTGACAACGACAATCAGTCGAAGTTTGCAAGCATCAAGAACATTCACTTCATCTACGAGCGATGCCTGCGCAAGTTCAAGCAAGACATCGGCCTGTGGCTGGAGTGGATCGCATTTGCCAAGTCCCAAAAATCCACCAAGATGCTCTCCAAGATCCTTGCAAGAGCCCTTCAGGTGATGTAAAGAAGAAGGAGAAAGACGGGGATAGGGGGGGGGAGGGGAGAAAAGGAGATGCGAGGAGTCGAAACATGTAAGATGGAGAGGAGAGTGCATGTGTAGCATGGGAGTAAGGAGAAGGATAGTTGCGATTCTTGCCCTCCTCCCCTCATGGTTGTTGGTGGGACTCTGACAAGGGAGCAGCTTCATCCAAGGAAGGCTGTCTTCTGGCTGACAGCTGCCAACTACGAGTGGGAGGAAGGAAATGTAACGGCAGCCCGCGTGATGTTTCAGAGAGCTCTCCGACTCAACCCTAAGGTGTGCAGAGAAGAGAAGGAGGAGGGGAGGGAAGGGAGAGGAGGGAGGGTAGGGAAGAGAGGTTTGGGGGGGGAGGGAGAGGGAAGGGGAGGAGATGGGAGGAGAGGGGAGGAGAGCAAGGAAGAGAAGTGCAGAGGAGGGGTCCAAGGAAGGGAGGGGTGAGAAAGGAAGAGATTATTCACGAAGTGAGCAGGAGAAGGAGCTTTGGCACGCTTACCTTAAAATGGAAATTCTCTTCGTCGGCAGAATCTTGAAGAGGAGGAGGTCAGTCTAGCGTCTATTTCATAGTGTTCCATCCTCTTTGCACTGCCCTGCTTCATCCTTCCTCTCTTGCTGCTCTTGCTGCTGCTCTTGCTGCTGCTTCTACTGATGCTCCTACTCCTGCTCCTGCTCCTGCTCCTGCTCCTGCTCCTGCTCCTACTCCTGCTCCTGCTCCTGCTCCTGCTCCTGCTCCTACTCCTGCTCCGCACTCCCTTCCTCCCCCCTTTCCCCTCTCTCCTCTCCTCCCCGTCCCTCCTGATTTAGCCTGTCAGAATTCTCGGCCTCGACGACAAGGGCCAGCAGGATTCCAAGAAAGAGACTCTGGACATCCCGTCGCTCGAGGAGGAAGAGAAGAAGGAGGACAAGGAGGAGGGAGGGGGGGCAGCAGCGAGAGCACAGGAGCAGGAGGCGCCTGACCTGTCCTTCCTCCGCCATGGCGACATTCCCAAGGCTGTGATCGAATTTGCCTTGCGGAGCAATCCTGGAGACCCGGCCTTCCTTCTTTCCCTGCTAGAAGTGTGCGAGGAGGCGGAAGAGGAGGATGACGAGGAGGAGCTCGCTGAAGAACTACGACGCTTCCTCCTCGATCTCATCGATGAGAGCTTCTGGGGCCTCCCGGGCTGCATGCTCAGGAGAGCAGCGAGAGGAATGAAAGAGGCGAGCACGAGAGGGTTTGCTGGTGCGTGCGATGATGTGGAAAAAATGTTCAGTGAGTATATGAGGAGGAGGAGAAAGAACCAGGAGGAGGAGGAGGAGGAGGAGGAGGAGGCCGGTAAGCAGAAGCGGAGGAAGGAGAGGGATGCTCA